AAAAGCTCCCTCTGTCCTCCCCATTCCTGACGTCCAAGGGGAATGTGCTGCTTAAGGCCCAAAGGCCTGTCCTTGGAGCCCCTGGTTTCATTAGGTCCCCTGTGCAAGAGATGTCGTCATCCCATATCCCTGGGTGAAGGGAACTGCCTGCCCTTAGCCCGTGAGGGAGTGAGAGAGGCTGTCTGGAGAGTCTCCTTGAATCCATAGGGGTGACGGGCAGGACCTTGTTCCAGGTCCTGGGAAGCCTGGATGAACTGTAGTTACTATCTTTAGACTAGGGCTCCTCAAACTACGGCCCGTGGGCCACATGCGGCCCGCCGAAAACATTTATCTGGACCGCTGGGTGTTTTTGCCGCCGCTGCCTGTCCTGCTTAGCAGCCGACTAGTCACGGGCCCACAGTGAGCATGTGTGGAATGTCTGAGGGACAGTGCACTGGACCCCTGTTTAAAAAGTTTGAGGACCTTTGCTTTAGACCCTCATGAGAATCCTGTATCTTTAGATTTATGACACCTTCACAGGAGCTAACTTGCATGGGTTCCACTACTTGCTGATAAGTATTGGAAAGTGCATCTCAGGGAGGTGGTAGCCTCAGTTCTAGATCGAGGCAGTATGGTGCAGACAGATGCATTTAGAGAGAGGAGCTCTGAAAAGACTATCTGATGTGAGGTCAGGGGATGAACAGGCAGAGGAGAAGGCTGGAAGGGGAATGGAAGTATTCGAGTTTGTCCTGTAGATATTTACTATTTCTCTGTCTAGGGGCGACAACTACATATGGGGAAACAATCCATGTAAAGTACATGACTGTCTTCTACAATTTTATATCTAAAGATACTGTCCTTTATGCACAGTATAGACACGAACACATTCCCCTCAGGTCAGAGCACGAATCCCCCGCCTCTTACAGAAGATAGAAATAATTATATAATGGTTACGTCTATTTTCTCCTTGTTTTCTTGGCTGTGAGAAAATTTAGGCCTTAACTTTTATGCTTGGTTGCAGTGATCCTTCTTTGCTGAGTCATTGGATGTGTATCTTCCTTTCTTCTTAACAGTTTCTCTTCTTTCCCTTTTCTATTTGCTTTGATAATTGGTTTCATAGGTGCCTCTAAAGTTGAAGTAGTCTCCACTCCTCTGGTAAGCAGAATGGACTTTAATTGAAAATAGAGAATTGTTCTGCTCCACATCACAAAATTACTCTTGGCATTGCCCCCAGGTGCAGTGCTTGAAGGAAGTCTTGTGGGATTGAAAATCCAGTGATGTGACAGTCTAGGTGTGCTAGAGGCCAGGTCCTGCCCCATCACCCCTACTGTATTATCTTTCAGCATTTCCCAGGCCACCTCTCACCCCTGCCCTACAGTCCAGCAGAAGGAAGGCACCTGGGAGTGGCCTCTTCCTACATTCACTTGACAGATTCATGTGGGGATTTTTGGGGTGTACCCATTCAACAAATACTCATCGAGCACTTCCCAAGTTTAGGGTGCTCTCTCTGGTAGTTCAGATACAAAGAAAAACAGAATAGAAAACTAATTTTAATAAAAACATTTTATTAAGTGGGTTTTGGCACATACATGAACTATTTTTCAATCTTATTCGGTGAATGGCCTCGAAGTGAAGCTGCAATTCACTCTCTCCCCAGTTTCATGCATGGGATCTGCAGCCTCTCAGCTCCACCAACCCTGAGATTGCTGCAAACATGCATGGTCATGAGCAGGACTGTGGGCCCACAGTGTCAGAATCCTGCTCAGAAGGATATTTGGTCGGCCTAATGGTTGACACTGCATCATTTCACCCACAGGGTGTGAAATTCACAATTGGGGAGTATTTCCTCTTGTGTCTACTAATAGTGGACCCATTGACCTATAATGGGATGAGGATGTCCCAGGAGAAAGGGAACACTGACCACGGACAGACAGACCCTGTGAAGAGTGCCCTGTGACGAGGTAGGTCAGGTGTCTGTCTGACCTTTTGCCCCCACAGTGATGCTGGCAGGGGCCATATCAAATCAGTCCTAAAAGTATGCTGGGAGGAAAGGCTGTCCTTTGTCCTCAAGATTGCCCTGGTGGCTCTAAGGAGGCCACAGCCACTTGGGGATTCCTGGGACTAATCATGGTACCATGTTGGTGTGGAAGCAAAGGGGGTTCCAGGGAATGTAACCACCCAGGGTGATCTGATCACAGATTTCTACCTGGGCAGGTCACAGTGAGTAGTCACACTCCAGGCATCTAGTGTTTTTAGTAAAAGGGTTAACACACCTTTGAACTGCCTCTTTGCAGAACCCTCAAGAGAAACCATCCTCAACAGAACACGGAATCTCATCACCTACCCTGCAATCCATTTCCCGCCTGGCTTTCCTCCACCTTCAGTTTTCTCCCTTAGGTCCCTCCTCAATTCCAAGTCCACAAAGGAAGCTACAAACTGTCATTCTGAGAAGCATTTTCTTGGGCTGTTGTCTGGCTTCCAGGTGTATCCTCTGCTCAGTTCAGATAAACTTTTATAAACTTTCTCTACAGGTTTGGACTTCTAACATGTACATTGGATATTGTGAGGTGTTACAGTCAGTGAGGGTTTTCTGGTGCAGCACATGAGCAACTAAAGACATATCCATGTCACAGATAGGACCGGGCTAACCATGGGGAGAAATCGAGGGCATCAAGTGGTGGCAGCACTTGAACAAAAGGAATTGGTTCTCTTGGAGGCTGAGATCCGCTGCTGACTGACACAGGTGTGGCCCTCCATGGGTCCCTGTGAGGGGCCACAGTGTCCTCACTGAGAAAGGACAGGGCTAGACTGGGCCCTTTCCATGGTTTGACTATGACCCAGTGCTATGCTCTTAGGCAAGACAGTGGGTGTCCTCTGCCAAGAACTGGAACAGAAACCCTCATGTCAGCCTCTTTTCACTCCCTAATCTCATAATCAAATCCATCCCTTCGTTTTCCTCCCATACCCACCAAAGAATGAGTCAACACTGGGCATGAGAAAAACATCATTGAAATTTCTTTTAGGGCAGCAGAGAGCTCAGCAGAGCCAAAGAGGGGCTGAGGAACTGCCTCTTCAGGCTGGGAATTCACAGACGGCCACAAAGGAGGAAGAGCATGAGATATCATTCCAGATCCCATCCGTTAGAAGGATCACACAGTCCTCCCCTGAGCCAAAGTCATTAGGCTCATCCTTCTTCCAGTTGCTATAGGTCAGCCTCCCTCCTGTCACATACACAAACTGGCCTTCAGTCACTTCATCTGTAATGCCCAGGAAGGCATTGTCCTTGGCCACGTCCATGATGTCTTTGTCCTCCTCTTGGCCACATCCATGTTGGCTTAGTTCTCCTCAGCATTCTTGGGGGTGGCCACGGTGGCCTGGAGCTCAGCGCACAGAGCCTTCACTTTGGAAAAAGGCATCTTTTCACCGTTGGTCACATAGAGCTTCTTTCCAGATCTCTTGCCCAAGGAGAAGGTTAGCACTGAAATCACAAAAAATGGGTGGGATTGACTTGGCCTGAAGCCCAGGCCAGTAGGTGACAACACCATTGTTGGGGAGTCAGGACTCTGAAAAGGAGCCCATGTGCAACCCCCTCAGGTCAGGTCCTAGTGAGGAGGAGCGCCTCACCATAGAGAAGGCCCTAGCAGAGCCCAGCCTCTCCTGGGGGCACCTGCCCTGGAGACAGTCCCCCGGCACAAACTGCTCCAGTGCAGGTGGACAGGAAAACAGGTGTGGGCACTGCTGCCAGGCTTGGACGCCAGGATAGAAAGGGACAAGGACAGCCATCTGAGAACAGCAGGTATTGAGGAAGGAGTGAAGAATGGGAGAAGGGCATATATTGAGAAAAAGACCATAAATTCAAGAACAGACGAATAGAGAACCAAGATGGTGGCATAGGTTAACCCTGGAGATTGCTGCCTTGAACAACCAAATCAAAATACACCTAAAAGATGGAAGGAACATCATCCAGAACCACAGGAAGGCTGGCTGAGAGGAAATTCTACAACTAGGAGGAAAGAGAATATCATGCCCAGACTCAGAGGAGGCGCAGTGCTGAAGTGAAATATTCAGGAGAGGAGTGCGTGCAGAGCGGGCTGGCAGCGGAGAGCGCGGTTGGCGTTTTCAATCGGGAGGGAGTTTCAGACTCTGAGCTCCAGATCCGGGCAAGTCTCTAGGGACCCTGACTCAAACGGGAGAAGCAAGACTGT